TTTACTCGCACGCATTGATTTTTTTTTTACCATCTCAGTCAATTATATAATTTAGATTACTAACTTTTGTTAGCATAAAAGTATTGGTTAGAGGTGAGTATGCATTTATCCCTCATTTGTAAAATTTAAATCAGTAATCGTAATGCCGACAGAGTTTGTATCGATTAGGTGTGTTTTAGGTTATTTTTAGACAATGCTCTTAATATGGATAAAAAAATTAAAAGGAAAAGATAAGAATATCGAAGCTTAAGAGATTACGCTTTGAAAGTAAATTAAAAGTTGATGCATGCAAAAATATTTAGATTTTTTTCATGAATATTTTTAAATTTATTCTATGAAAAAATATCATGAATGTATAATTTTAGTTATTATCTGATTTTATATAAAATATTAGAAAAGACCCACATGCATATTGCATCCTTTCTTGTGGGTTACTATGGTATAATTTATAATGCCAAGTTTTAGTTACCCGGTAGAAGAAACGAAAAATCGAATGAGAAGAAACGAGTTGGGCAACCTAAGGGTCGAAAACGAAAGGTCGGGAAGCCAAAAAATAATTTTGCCATAGTGAGATCGACTTAGCTTGGAGTTAAGCGACATGCGAAGGAGAGGAAGATGACGTAAGGGTTAGGGCAGCAGCGACGTCGAGGGTTTGCATGCTGTCAAGCTGCAACATTGACTGGTATGTGGCTGAAGCCGCATGCGATTGAAGGAGCTCTCGTAAAAGGAGGTACCGTCAAACTTTGAGCGGTTTCTATTGAAGGAGAAGCTCTCAGAAAAAGGAAAGTGATCAGTGCAGACAGAGCCGCGTGCAGTCGAAACCTTAACATGGTATAGGGTTCCAGCAAGGCAATAAGTTTAATAAAACTTATTTAATTTATTTAATAATAAAATTCAATAGTGAGTTTATATATATATATATATATATACACATACATGCCAAGACACACGATAGTGCTTCTTTGATCCAATAACAGAGCAGCCGGTACAACATGTAGTTGTTTCTAATGTTCAACAATCTGCACATCTCCAACACACATTAGATCAAGATCAGGTGAGTCAATCTTTGGAAGAGGAATGACATGTCTATTCCAGGAGAAAGAAGAAGAATGGAAGTCGACTCCAGTTCGCGAACATATTGGATGATACATTCATTAATACTGGCAATGACAATCATCTTACCAACTTATTAGCTTGCTCCCTTCCTAGAACCAGAGGCAGAGACAACCAAATTGGGTTGCTCTCTAGCCACCTGATACTATGTATTTCAGCATCTTTAGATTTTTTCTTTGTCTCTAATGTACTTTTTAGTATTTTCAAGTTTTGGAACCCCTTGTGGTTTTGGTGTGGGCAGTGTGCCATGTTTGGGCCCTCCAACACATTGTATCTATATCTTTCTTTCTAGTTAATATATTAGCCTTTTTGGGCTTTCAAAAAAAATATATATATCTATATTTTTTTATAAGAAAGGAGTGGTATAAAAAAGATTGGATGAGAGGCCCAAAGTAGGAACTCAAAGAACCCGGTATACAATACACACCAAAATTTCCGAAAAAGTAATGTATACCCAAAACCACAATTATAAACTAAGCATATAATCTCTATGCCAAATTCTCCAAACAGAGCAAAATTCAGAAGTTGTTTGGAAGTAGTAGTTGGATCGTTGAGAGTTATAAATGCCAAATAGATGGAAAATATTCTTGTTGATATCTTCAAAACTCTAATAAGGAGTCTTCTTCCTACGCAAAATTCACAAGCCGTTTCAGTTGCGGCACCCCTAGATGCATGTGTAGGCTGACCAAAAGACGACGACACAAAACTAAAACATATGGAAGATATACTTGTTGCACCAAGAACTGGAAGAAAGGGAGAATGAAAAGATGGAGTAATTGATCTACCAAGAAAAGACCCATGAGAACACCTGTAAAATGAGAACACCTGTAAAATTCGCAGATCCAAACAGATAATGGGAGCTTGAGTACGACCCAATGTATCCTTACCTCTTACCTCTGGTTCTAGGTAGGGAGCTTGCTAACAAATGGTTAAGTTTTCTATCATTACCCGAAACAACTAAGGTATCATCCATTAAGTTCCTGAGTTGTAGTAGGCCTTTATTATTCTTGTTCTTCTTCTTAGATGCGTAAACCTGTCAATCCTCATCCAAAGACTGACTCATCTGATCAGTGTATTGGTCCAAAAATTGCTAGGCAGGTGTAGGCTATTGCACAACAGGATCTCCTTGTGCCTGATTGACATTAAAAAACTGTTCAATTTGATTAGGTGGTAGGTATGCAATAGAAAACTCACCTAGGGCAGAATTTTGAGCTTCAAGCTGGAGCAATGTCTCCTCATCCACCATCAACGCAGGTTCCACAGGAGGTATAAAAAGTGAGCAATCCCCCTTAAGGACAAAAGGAGCGGACCTCAAAAGTTCCTCCACAGGTAAAGTAGTCCCCCACCCCCCTTAGGGGCATTTAAACCAGACACCAACTCCTGTCTTGTGGTAATTTCTTCCACAGGTGGAGTAGATGTGTCCAGAGCAGTGGAGTTAGACAAATCCTTATGCAGTTGAGCTTTAGATTTCAAGTTAGGGTGGAGCCTGTGGCCTTTGTCAAGAGTATGCCCAAATATCTTACAATGTGTACAATAAAAGGGTCTATGTTCCATGACAATTTGTTGTCAATATCCATTATGTATTGTGCCCAATCAGACTGTTGTAATATCAGTGAAAGTGATATCTCTTCCATAAATATTCTGGTAACAAAAGACCTACTTAGATTGAAGGTGGGTATATCTAGTTTCATAGGATTCCCTTGAAAAAAAAAATTAAGCTGGATTACATAAAGTAAATAATAATAAAATAATAATTTATTAAAATAATAAGTTAATTAAATTTTATATCTTGTTTATTTTATATTTTCAATTTTTAGATTAGTCGACATCATGACACAAATTAATTATCATCAAGGTGAGTATTTATATTCTTAAATTATAGTATCATTTTGGTAGCTCTTCTTAACTAGTTTTATTGGTTATATTTAAACTTGATTAATGCAATTGATTTTTCTATTATTAAATTTTATCGGTCATTTCGATGCAAATGATTTTAATCTCATATTATGAATAATTTAATGTATTAGTGTGACATGTTGAGTGATGTGAAATTATAAATGATATAATTTGTATAGTTTCATTGTACGTACATGACTGACTATGATGGAGTCATCTCTTAATGCTACTAATGAGAGAACACTAAGGTAAGTGTCCACGTAAATGAAAAATGATTTTAATATTGAAGTACATTAAGTGGTACAAAATTTTAAACGACGCTCCTGTGATGATTGTACTGATATATAATGATATTAATATCGAAATATTCATTGAATAGCATCTTAATTATTTATATTAATTTATTAAAAGGTTTAACTAACATGTATATTGCTTTCTTTTTTCCATTGTATTATTATAGTTTAGAAGTATGAGTTCACTGATATGTTTAGCTTATTGTTATTTTAAATTAACTTTTCAAGTTAATTAAGTAATGAATTGATGAACAATAGAAGGGTTAATGTTTATAAAGGTCACGGATAACCAATAACTAAGTAAATTTAAATATATTTTTTAAGTTTGATTAGTGACTCTTTCATTTATTAAATGATAAATTAATATAAAAATTTTAATTCACCTGTCAGACTGTCTGTAAACGACTATTTAATTCCAACCTCTGGGACTGGCTTTGATAAAATAATATGTATTGTCAATAGTCGTGCTCATGATTTTAACATTTAAATTATTATACGACTTTCTATAAAATATTAGAAAAGACCTACATTCATATTGCATTATTTCTCGTGGCTTACTGTGATTTAGAAGTGTAATTGTTTTACTAAATTTTCTTAAATAATTTATTATGTTGTTTTAATATTTTTTGAGGTTTAAATTTTTGAGTAAAAGATAATACTATAGGAGAGAATGTTTATAAAATGCATGATCAATTATCAGAAAGGTAAATTTTTCTTTGTTAATTATTTTTTTAGTGTATTTGGATTTTAACTATTTGTGATAGAAAATGGATGTAAAAAAGATAAAAAATTTCACCATCCAAACGTATGTTTCCATCATAATTAATTCTAACTTCCCGGGTTGGATTATGATATTTTCTTTTTTGAGGCTTATGCCTCTCCTCGTTGCAAAGCTTATGCCTCGCCTTACTAGAAGAAAACACTTCGATTCTCGATTTCGCCTTTTTAAACTTTGATATGATGAACTGAAAAGTGTTTGTAATAACCTGCTAATCCAACCATTCTTTTGCAACTGAGAAGTACTAATTACTTTCATGATATTCCTTTAACAGCAATAACTAGAAGGAAGATTTACATACATACCATTCGAATCCTATTTATTGACATATATAACACCCAAAAGTTAATTTTTGTGTACCGTCTTACTGAAACATGAAAATATATATTTCACTTTTTAAATGTTAAAATGGTGATATTTTTTATGTGATATGAAAGATTTAAATGTTTTAAATGTTAAAAGAAAAGTTTGGGTGTTAGATGTGTAAATATATCTTGAATTCACTTTGATTTTTTTAGAATGAAAGACCGCTGGAATATTTGATATTTTATTACCTCTAGCTTCTACTATTTGTTTTCTGGCAGTAAGTTTGCGTGCATTTAATCCTCACAAGATTCATTACTAAAGCTTAATGCACTAGGTACGCCTTTATGACGAAGTCCTTGAAATATATGCTTGAAATACATGCCAATTTTAATGGAAAAAGTGGTGTAACCATTTTACGGCGCCTCCATGACATGTGGTCTTACCCTTTTAGTGGTGGGAGACTATTTTTGTGATTCAAAGTTTCTATATCCATGTTCTTACTGGTCATACTAATCACTGCTTTGTGCTTATCCCTACACACATTTAAAGAAATACATTACCACAAAATTTTAAGAAATTTACAATTAGTGAGCTCCTTTTTTTTGTACTGGTAGGATGGTCGTATCCATGCGTTGTATTCCACTCCTTCAATTTACACTGATGCAAAGTATGCTTCAAATGAATCATGGCCGCTGAAAACAGATGACTACTTCCCGTAAGCTATTTCAGCTTTCCTTGTTAAATCAATCACTTATTCTTCTTACACACATCTATATGCACATCTATAAACTGAATGCAGATATGCAGATGGAACCAATGCTTATTGGACTGGTTATTATACAAGCCGACCAACATTCAAGCGGTTTGTTAGAGCATTAAGTGGATATTACCTGGTACATTGGTTTGTTTTGGATTTTATTCATATCTACTGCTTCATTTTCTCTCTTACACAAACAAGTAGTGTTTTACAAAGCATTTTAAATGTCAAGTAGGCTGCACGCCAACTAGAGTTTTTGGTAGGGAGGAAATCTTCTGGTCCTGTCACCTCTATTCTAGGAGGTGCTTTAGGCATTGCTCAGCATCATGATGCTGTCTCTGGTACTGCAAAACAACATACAACAAATGACTATGCAAAACGTTTGGCAGATGGAGCTTCTAAGGTTTGCTTGCTTTTCACAGCTTAATACTTCTTATATCCTACATTTTGCTCTCTTTGATTTTTCTCTTCATTACCTGTGAGTTTGCTGATCTTTCCGAAGAAGATAATTTACGTTTGTTGTATTTTGTAGGCAGAGGTTGTTGTCAATCTTGCTATTTCTTGCCTTATTAATCCTGGAGAGAGATGTGCCTCTGATTCCCATTCGATTAAGTTAAGCCAGGTGAGAAATTTTTGTGTTCTCTTTAATGATTTTTGTTAACACTCATATAATGCTTGCTCACCTGTCAGAGTGGATCATCCCATTGCTCAATGCGCAAAATATTTCAAAATGACATGATTGTTGTATTAGTCTGCATTATTTTTTAACTAATGTTTTTGAGTAACATAGTCTACCCACAATTCTTATTAGTTTGTTAATTTTATTTCAATATGCTCTTGGTAGAAAGGCGGTCATGATAATTAAGCTCGTGATCTGGTACTGTGCTCATTGGGGCACTTCACTTATGCTCATACTCATTAGGACACCCTATGAAATTTTAAATGGTTAGGCTAATGGACTAAGCGGCGAATCCAATATCTTTGACACCTCTGTCTCTACTACCTATTACTACTTTTAGTTGTATATTTTACTGAAAAACTTAAAGAATCTATTTTTGGAACTCTCAATTCAATCAAATCTTGACATGCATTTCTTTCTTTGTCAGTAAATTCTAATTATTTAATTCAATGGTTGAAACGGCATTCAACTCATTCAATAATCTTTATTATTGTTGTTATTATTACAAGATACATTCTACTAGTATTGATAATATGGTTGAATTGTTTCTATTAAGTAAACATAGCCAAGCAGTAACTTCAACATTACTACGCTACTTCTAGCTTACATGATCTGAATATTTCAAATCAACTTGGAATCTAACAGTCATGATAGCAATTAAGCATAAGATTGAAGAATTCCTATCAAAAGATTATTTTCTAGTTCTCGTTAAAGAGGCATAAAGATATGTGACCTACTTGGGCTCTCATTTTATGCAAAGTTCTTCTTCTGAGAAATTGTTCTTGGCCATTGTCTCAGTGCAATTTGCTCAACATAAGTTACTGCCCAGCTACTGAAGAAATTTCAGAAGGGAAGAGCTTGGTAAGTTTTTTTTTTCCCCCTGATTTATGGCTGCCACATTTTCTCTGATTTTTTATTTTATTGTGAACATATGATTTTTCTGAATCAAGGCAGCAGTTTGATGAATTACATTTTCTAGCACAGGTAATGGTTGTATACAATTCCCTTGGATGGAATCGTACCGAGTATGTCAAAATTCCAGTAAGTTAATTATTAATTTTTTTTTTATATCATGTTTTATGATGCAAATTCATCTTTGCATAGTCTTTCGTACTTAAAGGAAAAGATGTCAAACCTATGCTTTTATACTTTTCGGACACCTCTTTTTGTGCACTCTGTAAGCTGCTTTGTTACAGCTCTTGCTACGGAATAATGATTCATCACATCATGAACTTTTTTGAATAAGCATTTAGAAATTCAGTGACCTGTTAAATAACAAATGTTTCTTATCTCCCTAAATTGTATTCTTAATAAATAATGTGTTGATAAGTACCTTTTAAAGGTTAAGCATGTAAGCGTATGAGGTGGTTTCCATATGCAACCTTTTGAGAACCGCTTGAACTTGAGAATGCTTGTACACAATACGTTACACCTTTGATCAACTCATTCTTGCTACCCAACAAGCCATGCTTACAAGTTTATTCTATAGAAAAGCATACTTTATGTGTCCATGTGTGTGAAATCTACTTCATTGCTTAAAACAAAACCAAGGTGCAAACTTGGACAAGTGATTCAAAACTTGTTTGATTGCTAGCCAAGCTAAATGCATAAAAGTAAATGTTTTCATGGATTTTTATTCATTTGTCTCTTTGTATTCTCTAACATCTCCTCAACCTTAGGCTTAATAGGATAGGAAGTGCAAACGTAATGGCCAAAGGTTGTGGTTGCTGTAAGCTTGATTTTGATTTTAGATGGGGAAGCTATGAGAGAGCAAGGTGGATGGGGTGGTGTAAAGGCTAACGTCTCGAACTCTCACCCATAGAGATATTGATTGTTTTGGCCTAATTGCCTCACACTTGTGTCCTATTAGTGTAACTTCTCAGAAGGTCACTCATTCTAAGAGTGTTCCTATACTATCACACATAACTTTGGAGTTTTTGATGAAATTTCAATTGTTACACCAAATGACGCCTCAATGTTTTGGAGTTCAGCTTCATTCTACTTGAGAGGTATCAAAAACTCTCCACTTAAGTAATTGACATCTTCATAAGTGTTCTTAACTTAACATCATCCATTAGGTATATATGTTTCTATTACTGATTCATAAGGTGGCTTCCATACAAGCACTCTTAACTTTGAAGTTTATGATAAAATCCAATTGTTAACCCAAAAGACATCTCAATGTTTAATATTTTGATTTCATTCTACTTAAGGGGTTTCACAATCTGATAGGAGGAGATAGAGAGAGAAATGTTATTAAATGATTACTTGTAGGGAAATGGAGGTGAGTTGGGGATTGGGAGGAAGGAGATAGGAGTGAGAAAAAGGAAATGAGGGGGAGAGTGCATGTGAAGTGGTAAAAAGTGGGATGGAGATTGGAAGGTGTGGAAGAGAAGGGGATGGGAAGGATGGTGGAGGAAGTGAAAGATAGGGTGGCATAGTAGAGATGATGGAGGGAGCAAGCGAGATACATACTTTTGATTAATGATACCATGAATAGGGATAGAGTGGGGATGGGATAGGTGGGAAGCAGTTTGTGATGGTTACTATTGTCATTGCAAGATGGACTATTGTGTCACTTTACCATCGATCATTCAAAAAGCCATCTTGGGAAATTGCACCACTATAATAAGCTAAAAATGAGAAAAGATGTCTCACTAACATATTTGATAAACTACACTAATAACTCCCTTCATTTTCTTAACATTTGCAACCACTTGCCAACAACAAGATTTCTAATATCTAAGGATAATCAAAGCAAGATTGGGTATTTGGTGAATTTAAAGAAGAGTTGATGGTTGAAATGAGGATGACTGGTTGAGTATGATGACATCAAATCCTTCGTAACTTTGACGCACTTACCTCTATTTTAAAAATGATTGTTGATTGCTAAAAATTATAAAGGTACAATGAGTTGTATTGGCCTCCATACCCTTGTGATTAAATCGGTATAATCACACAGCTTGATGTTGATTTAGACCAACAAGTGAACCCTTCATGACCTCATAGTCTTATTAGACTCAACGCAACCTTGAAAAGGCTACTACATTGATCCTACATTATCATGTCGAGTTTAGTGTCATCTCATTTAAATCTATCAACCTTTATGGTCTGATCCTTCCCAACTAGTCAAGTCAACACTAATTATTCTATATGAGTCTAATATAGCCCAAGGCTACCTCAACCAATTTTGTTCAAATCACTTGACCCTTTGATTGAGCCCAAAGTGGAAAAAGTATGAAAATTTTAACCTACATTAACCCAGATTGACCCATATCAAGTCTAATTAACATAAAAAAGGATTTATTTGACATAACTAGTTCCAATTACAAGGGACTTACATTAACCCATATTAACCCAAGTAGACTAGCATTGAACGAAGTGGACCTAATTAGACCTAATTTGCATCATGTCTTTATTTGAACCACGTTGATCTAATTGGTACCTATCTACTCAATGGATTCAAATTCATTACCTTAGAAAGTTTGTCTATTTTGACCTAGATTGGCCTAATTAACATTGATCAAAACTAATAAAGCTCATATTAATAGGGACTTGATGACCACGATTAGTCCCCATCATGTCAACCAATGCTTTTATTTGGTTAGATTAGACTCTGTCAGTCTTGGTTTTTTTTCAAATTATACATTCGATTAGTTAATTGGCCTCTTGTCTTAATCGTCAAAACATTGGCCCTAATTTGCTTTATTGGGTATAGAACTAGTCTAATTGACTCATGGTTGTGGCAATTGAGATCCATATCTTAAGCAGACTAACATATCACATAATAGTTGTGAGCCAATCCAACATGAACCCAAATTAATAGTAGATTCAAATTCAATATCCTTCAAATTCAACCCCAAGGATATTGAATTTGAGGTATTTTTCATATGAAGATTTCTTTAGACTTTATTTTTTTATCCTTAGTGTCTACAAGGAAGTGCTCTTGGTATACAATGTCTAGGATTCCCTTTGTATCGTTACAACCATTGCATTTTGTCTGCATGCCTAAGGAGAGATAAGAAAGACATTTTCAACGACACATGAGGCTACAATTATTGGTTAACATCATCATTTTGTCTAGTTGATTGTCATCTTTATTGAGGATGCTAGACAATTTTGTGAACTTCATCAACCTTTGAGAAATATTTGTTGATGATTAAAATTGCTAAATTTGGGTGCCATTGCGTTGCACAAAAAAATTTAGCAAAATTGATGCAAGTGAAATTCTAATTTTTTATAACATTGTAAAATGGATCGTAATGACACTATAATGTCTCAAATAGAGTGGAGCATATAATCAAAATACTAGAAAAAGTGTAAAAGTTGGACATTTTTTGTTTGCTTCAATCTACACCTTCAAGGGGATTTGTGTGATAAAATTGATGTCCTGCCCGTTTGACCAAAGTTTGATGGCTCAATTTTAGGCTGATTGGGCTCTAATCAATTCATATCACATCAAGAAGGCCTTGTCAAGCCTAGATTGTCGTACCCAAAATTAGATGAACCTAGGGACCCTAAATAGTACGTTTGTATAGTGAGTGTTTTCTGGGTTGGGCCTTCCAGTGAAGGATTAAATAATAAATATGCCCTAAAATAAAGGGGTTTCTTTCTCACATGTCTGTTATATCTTGTTACATGGGCGAGATTCATGGATGTGGCTAAGGAGGGAAGTGGACCCCAATTGAACCGAGTAGTATTTAACTGCATTAAACAACCCTTTAGAATATTACCGTTTAGGTGTTTATTAAGTTAATAAATAAGAATCATGTGGTAAATATGTAAATTTCCCCTTTTTGTTTTTATTTTTAATTTGCTTTTAAAAATATGTTTGTTTTGTATTTTTTAGGTTTTACTTCTACTTTTAAGAACAAATCAATCTAGTCTTAAAAATATTGATATGAATTTGTGTTTTTAGATGTTTTTATTTTTTTTCCTTGCACAGAAACCACTTTGGTTGCCAACCGTCCCCTCTAACTACAGGTGATTATCACCATTGGATGCCTCTGCCAATCATAGTCGATCATCACTACTGGCCGCCCCTCTGCTTATCATCTTTTCTATCTTATGCAATTTTCAATAAAAAAGAACAACCTAAAACAATATAATTTAAAATATTAAATATATTTTTATTTGTAGAAATCTGAGATCTTATAGAGAATTTAATTAGGATAACTTAAGAAATCCTTAATTAGTTTATTCTATGTTATTTTATTTTTATTTCAAAATTATTTCCTTTCCTAATTTACGTTAAATATATTTGGTAAGTTATTAAATTAGAAGAGATTGATTTCCCTGCATATATATATGGCTTTGTCGTCCTCGCTCTCGCTCTGCTAGGGTTCGCCAATGGCTTCATGATCTCTTGCCTCATTCTAGAAAAATATTCATGAGAAATAAAGGGATGGCTTCGATCAAGTACTGTTTCGTTTTTATGCTTCATCATATCTTCGTCGATCAAACATTGTTTCGTCTTTCTTTTTTTTCGTCTTCGTCGCCATTTTTCGTCGTCGCGTCGCAGGCTCTTTCTGTTTGTCGTCTCGAGAATCAGCGGCTCTCACGAGAATTCGTCAGGCTCGGGGGCGTCTCTTAGCTGTTGCTCATTGGCTCGATTCGTCTGCAATTCACAGAGGGGCTTTCCTCTATCCCACTCTTTGCTCCCTGTTCTGGATTTGTAATTTGCTCTCTAATTTCTTCACTATTCTTAACGCCGCACCTCCATCTATTGGGGATGGCTTCAGACAGATTGTATGCTGTTGCCTTTGCGGGTGTCCACGCCTCAGGTACACCTAAATCGTGCTCTTTCTCTTCTTCGTTTGAGTGGGCGGAAGACATCAAGAAACCTGGTAAGAAGAATAGGAAGTCTGTCATTTTTTTACAGAAACTAAAAGTATTCAACTTGCTTCCTCTTATCGTCTGAATTTGATTAGGAAATTTCTATATGGTCATCCCAAAATAGAGTTGATTCGTAAGGAATTTGAGCTTATGCACCTTGTTAGGGAGTGAAAAATTAGACTTTTAAATCGAAAACACATTTTTAT